AAAATTACAGGTTTTGTAGAGAATTCAATTCTCTATCGATTGACTGTAAAATGAGAACTTGAAACTTCATAGAAGGGGATTAATAAACAAGAACAAAAGTGGCCGGTTTTATCTGGCCCACCCGTTATTGCTACATCATTTTCTAATTGAATATGTACACGATTTCAGATGGTCGACACGCTATCGCATAATCATGATAAAGATATTAGCTTGAAATATCAGTATCATTGTACATTGAAACTGGTCTAATCTAAAAGTCGTGCGTCAAAAGAGAGAGTTATAGACAATTTGCCTATATTTTTTAACAACTGAACTTTTTTCCTTTCGTTTTTGGGTATCTTTCTGTGCTATATATGTACATGTATGTACAAGCAGAAACAAAAAAATGTGGGGTTTCTACGTACTTCTTGTCTGATGAGAAGATAGAGAAGTGCTGTCTTTTAAGAAATCTTTGTAAATGCGCATGAAAACGTTTAAAGACTCTGAACAAAGAAATCAGTCATAAAGTAAGCAAAAAATAAATAAATAAACACGCAAAAAGTCGTTATATACTAGGTGACAGTGAAAGCACGTTTTGTGAGCATAAAATTACATAACAAACGCTATTTCATTCGTTTAATCAAAAAAAAATAGAAATAGCAACTAAAAACTATCAAGAAGGTCCTCAGCGGTCAGTGTCTAAAAAATTAAGAGAACAGAAAGTAGAGCGAACTCTTAGTGAGAACTGTCGAATGCAAGTAAACAAACTCGCACTAAAATTAGGTCTCAGATCTTTCAAAAAACGCAGACGAGTATGTATGTAGGTGCCACACCAAGAATTTCTTAGAATTTTGACAATAGAAAAAATCAAATGTGAAAATTTGTGTTGTGCAATCAATCTGTGAAGGGATGGAGATGAGTCATAGTTCATATAGAATCACCGCCACTCTTTTCTCAGTGTTTCATAGCATTTTACGGGCTCGTCATTGAAGATTATGGTTTCACAAGCAAATATTTTGTTAAGGGTACCCACACCCCTCTTTTTTTGTAAAAATTTCGGATTTTGAGCTGAGCATAGCCTAATATAGAGGAAAGTGTGGACCGCAAAATGAGACCAATCCCAGTACTCCACAACCTTTTCTCAAAAAGTTATGGAATTCTGAAGTTTTTCCTTCAAAACCTAAAAATATCAAATTTTTTAGTTTCATAAACTTTTCTCGCATTTTCTGTACATGCAAAGTTTTTCTTACAAATAGTCTGATAGAAGAAAGTATTTTCTTCACAATGAGACGTTTTACAGAATTTTCCGATGAGTTTTCGCAGAGATATAAGCACCGCGGCAAATGCTCTGAAAAAAGAGACCTATGTATAAAATGCGTTTTTTCTAGAAGACTATTTTTTTGCTACAAGGCTTCATTGTGTCGCATACGTAATTAAATTTCGTCCGATCGAGTTCAAAATTTTACCAGAGGTACTCAAGGCACTATTGCAGGGGTAATTTTTTGGAATCTTATTTTAGACTTTTCTTTATCGCCTTATAGGGTTTCTACAATTGAACAACTTGGTTTTTGAGACGTCATTCAGTATTTTTCCTATAACTTGACCAGGAAAGGTTTCGAAAAACTTCCCAAAAATTCCCTCTGTGGAATGACCTGGAGTACCTCTGGGAAAATTTTGAACTCGATTGGATGAATATGTTATTGGCGAAGCCTTTAGCGGGACTACTGACACCTGTTGCAAGAAGAATTCGGTCCTAGATGATCTTTTCTTCAGTCTCCAACACGACTACTGTATCTTGCAAAGACGCGACTTCGCATGCCCATCTGGAGGTTACCGGTTACCTGTCGTTTCTTCTCAACATAATTCATTAGATTATCATCCAGTTGTTTTACATTCGTTGTAAAACCTTCGACCTCGACGCCACCAGCGAGATGACTATGATTCAAGTGAGGGAAACGTGTAACCAGTTGCTCTTTCGACAGTTGAACAACTTTGTTTTGTCAACATTTTTTCGATGAACTTTAGTTTGAAATTCAACCGTGTTTAACACAGCTGATTCGGATGTACATTGTCGAACAATTCGGCGACTTCTCATAGCATTTTCAGCTAGTTCCGAATTTGTTCCAAGAGGTCGTATGAAAACTATTCACTTTTTGTACGCAATGTACCGGGAGACCGTGATATTTGAAATACCCACACCGAAAAATCTTTTTCACCTAAGGTTTAGCTTGAAGACAAACAAAAATTTTTCCTCGAAATTTTTGTCTGAGGTTTCCGTCAAGTGTTTTGCGTAAAATTTTTGACAGAAATTTTCTTTCTCAAGATACATCAAATTATATATCATTAGATGCAATTTTTTTGTAGATTCCGACTAGCACATTGGGTTTAAATAAAAATGTTTCTTGACTTTTAGAACTTAAATTTTTCAGTTTTTCGGTTCTGCATATATAAGTTCGTGTTCACTCAGAAAGAGAAAGAAACCGATTTTATTTTATCCTTCACATATCTTTTGGCGCAGACTTCTTACTGTTTGCCTTCTTAGCGTCCCATATGGCTTCTTTTTGTATTCACTCCGCATTCGTTCTTGAGCTTATCTTGCTTCGCGAGCTTATAGATGCGATCGTGCCTCATCCAAGTTTAAGGAGGGGATCTATCGGGAGATCTATCTACACCGCAGCAACTCGCGTCTTACTACATTTACTTCAAGACCCTAATTTAGAGACTGTCTCTATCCATAGTAGTTTCTATAAAATATTTCCACTACATTCAAAATCTGCCAAAAAGGTCTTATTTTCTTTTGAAAGAGTAATGGCTGTTTAATCGTTGACCGAAGATGACACAAGATTACTCCTTATATACGCGATTGAACACTACAGGTCTCCTTTAATTCGAATTCACTTTTTCAGGTACTGCTTTAACCAAATCCGAAGTTCAGCGATAATGTAGCATATTAGACTAATTGTTAAGTAAACTAGTAGTAATATTACTGATAAACGCATGTTCACATAATTTGTATACTATAACGAAAATATTGATCATGTAACAATATAGAACACAAAGTATTAAACTTACTCCATATGTGACCGCAAAGCCCACATACGATGTTTTGCTAATGCTGATGGATCCTTCGTTTCGTTGCATATAAAGCGCTAACCATAGCTACACGGTGAAGACTTCAAAACTATGACAAGAGTGTTTGTGAGAAAGCGTGTTTGGACCTGTTAGCCGCATAAAATCTTACTGTAGTATGTTCACATTTTCGGTTTTATTAGTGGTGGCTGCGGTTTTTGGGTCAAAATTCATACCGCAGTTTACTTTGCCAAATAGAAATGAGAATGAACCATCCAGCCTGAATTATGTGAGTTCGAGAGTAGTGGGCGTTACTGTTTTATATAACGAGAATTGTCATCGTAGGGTAAGAGCTCAAAGCAGAATGAACGTATATCTTTATTTGCTTGGTTGTAAAACAAAGTCTCTAACATTTAAAAAGTAGACCTCTGCAAGCTCTATTACTTTTTGGAAGGTTTTTGTATTATCTATACTTAGCTATTAAACTTACTCACGAACCATTTTCTCACTCGATTATGGACGATTTTCTCACCGATGAAAGTAACTCTTATCTGGAGCATACTTGATTTGTTTGACATTGTTGGTATGTTGAAGAGACTTCAAATGAAAATATTTTCTTCTAACTGAACTGTTTCTGTCATAACAGACAACCACCAACCCATTTGTATTGCACAAAGTCTCCTGCCAAAAAGAAATCGTCTAGCACTATCATCAAGTGAGCCATTAATGGTTATGAAACTACATATAAGTCTGTATGCTTTTTTAAAATTGCTGAAGGTTAGATGGACGGGGATATTCGTTTGTCAATAAATGGTTAGTTTCATGGACCAGTTCATAATCGACCATCATTTCACACAGAAGTTTTATCACCGATGAAAGCGACTTCTATCTTTAACAATTAATAATCGAATCAAAAATCACAAAAGAATTTATCTATGATGATCAGGAATTACATTTGTCACTATCAGATTAGGCTTCGAACTTTCACTTATCTTGAATGTCGAAATCGGGCAGATACCGTCGAAATTTAACCGATTTACAGTTTAATGCAGTTTTCGATTTTTAACACTGAAGAATAATTTGACGAAAAACAATTTTCATTTTGCTACATAAATCAGGTAACGTTAACTATATTTCCATCTTTTTTAAGACTTCACATTTATGATTAGAGTTAGCAGCTATATAGAATGAGAAAGACACCACTTCTATCGTTCTTTACAGATTGTTAACATAATACTAAATAACATGTGCACTAAAATTTTTACAATTTAGGAGAGCAAAAGGACAAGCATCGTACCACCGATGATAGACCTGAATTCACTAAATATTTCAGAGCATCGTCCTTTCTCAATTAAAAGCTCACATAGTTCCCTTGAAAAGTACACAAAAGCTGAATAAGCCAGCAGAATTTTGACAGTAGATCGCACTTGTACTTTTCTGCATTTCTCTTTCCTATCAAATGATCATAAAACGAAATGAGAGATGCTAGAACGAAGGCAAAACAAAGGAAAAGGTAGTTTTAACAACTGAAACATAAATATTGTGTTAGTGAAGGTACTATTCTACACTCTATTTTGAGAAAGATTTTGACTTTGAGGAGAACGCATCCTAATGTAGGGGAAAGCCTTAGCTACAAAGTGAAACTGCGTCCACCATTCCACGACTTTCCTTCAAAACGTTACGAAGTTTTAAGTTTTTCCTTCGAATCCTGAAAAAGGTCCGTTTTTCGGGTTTAGGGCAGTTGCTCGCTGACAGATGCTCGCGGGCAGTTGCTCGTATGACAAGTTGCTCGCATGGACTGATGCTCGCTAGGACAGATGCTCATCGGACACTTGTTCATAGGGACTTATGAGACTGATATTCAGAGACTGAATATCAGAGACTGCGCATAATCATACGAATCCAAACAGAGTTATCGATACAGGAAACAAAAAAGCAAAGGCCATTTATAATTACAGTAAACGTCCGATAGCTTGTAACTGATCATAAATTGTTGGATGAGGGTTCTTCACCAAACTATGTAAACGCTTGTTTAGTGACTCATATTGTTGCTGGATTGTCGGTTCACGGCCAGATCTTGCATTCACTATATCTGAATGTAAATTATTTTCTTCCTTTATCAGTTTATCTAAAAATGTCCATAAAGTCGTTGTTCTCTTATATTTGTCTGGAATGGATTTAAAATTTTTATCTATTGGAATTGTAGTGAAGTTATCGTCTTGACGCCAACGACGAATATCTCGTTTCAAATTTGCGTTAGTAGGTAAGATTACACGAACCTCGTCCGGAACACCAATATAATTTTGTGTCAAAATATTGCATGGATTTGTATGGTTATGTGCAGTCTCTTGTTTTAAATTCTCATAAAATTTTCGGTGAGCAAGTGTTCGATGAGGGTCTGTCCAGGCGATCATCAATCCTAGCGAGCAACTTGTCATACGAGCAACTGTCCGCGAGCAACAGTCCGTTTCCCCGTTTTTTAGTTTTATCAATCTCTCTCTCCTTGTCTGTATATCCAAAATATTTTGTTATATATAGTCTGACAGCTTTACAATTCTCTCCTCACATTAGCAGCATGTTCATGCATCGATTATTCATCTTTCAATTTTTGTAGTTGCGTAATCAGTGCATGTGATTCATATGAAAGATTTCCAGAGCGGAGACTATTCTACTGTATAACTGTTAACTAAGAAGCAATATTAGCTGCTTTTTTATCTCTCACGTGAGCGTGCTCATTTTACAATGGGTATTTGACATAATTATCTGTATAAATGGTGCCGCCGTTGTGCTCAGTTCTTAAGAACTGTCTTTTACACGATATGTCAACGATTCACTACGAAAGATTCGTTGCTTTTCCATTCATGTACACAAAAGAAGCTGTAGTGTTTTGTTTTTTCAGGAATTTTAAAACGGTGCTTTATTTTGAAAGATGAATCAATATTCAAAGTGGAAAAAAGGAGGATAGGATGAACACCTTTGTTACAAAAAAGTTGTTTAGGGTGTAGAACACGGCTGCTTTTGTTACCTGAATTTTTTTGAGTAAACCTGAAAAATTGTTTGCGCTCATCTGAAAAATCTGGCAGGTGTTTGGAATTTTAGACTCTCATCTGTGAATGTGGTCATGTTCAAAATAGAAAAGTGTCCGCACTATAGAGATACATTTGCCGCAAAAATCGCTCCGTCGAGCCTTAGCGTGTTCATTAGAAGATGTTCATTAATACAGATTTACTGGATATAAACAGCTGTGCTTTTAAGAGTGTAGAGATATGTAGCTAGTACAGAAAATGAACAAGATAGAAAACTATTCAAGGCTATATTTGGGATATAATAGCGACATATTGTATTTCGATCTTAGTCTTTATCTAGACTCTACTGAATACGCTCTGAACGATAATTCAACTGAACATAGTCAAACTATTACATCATCGACACTCACAACAACGTCAAGGTGTTATATCTCACATTCTTCATTCGGCGCTAAATCTCTGTGAATGTGATAGTCTACAATTATGCATGCGCAATAAAATGCTATGATATAATCAGAGTCAGACAAATAAAAACCGCAAAAATGTTCCTCATGTCGAATGCATCAGGAATGAATTAGTAAATCAAATCTCCTCGTCCTGAAACATGCATCCTCTTTTAAGGAAAGAGATATAATAGTCCCGGAAGCTCCGTTAGATGAAAACTGACGAAATGATGACTTTCGATTTCTCAATCTCCACCAATGCATACAGTGGATTTTGAACATATGTATGTTAAATAATGGTGTGATATGACATAATAACATATGTGATTAAATAATGATTCTGCGTATTATGACTTTTACGGTTCGAAAAAAGATCGAATTTTGGAGGCATTTTATATCAGAACACATTTTACTTTTGAGTATTTAACCAAAGTTTGGTGAAAACCGCTTATTTTGTTTAAAATGAACGATGACTATGGGATCTCAGAATGTTCACAAACATTTTTGAGCTGTATTTGAACAGACGCGACACGATAAGATATTGTAGACTACACATAATGCTGTAATGGGAATGAAGAAATCTTTTGTGACGTAACAGTTATGTGTGATCGATCCATAATAAGTAAAGTAACGTTAATGTGTGAGGGTGATGGTGGTAGTCTCGAGGACTCCAAAAGTCTCTTCAATGTGAGATGCGCAACGTAAGAAAAGACGAATTTATTTAAAAACCGTAAATAACTGTTCATACATCAAAGCTCGCTGCCGAAAACCACTGATCTCAAGGCGTCACCACCAAAAAAATTCCAAGAAGTTCAACAACGAATTCTAAGAAGATACCACGTCGATGAGTCACTACAAGGAATTCATCTAAAGTGTTTCTAGTTTCTACTAAAGCCACCAAGACATGCCAATAAACAAGGCAAGTCACTAAGGCTTGTTCGAAATCAGTCTGTACTGATCAAGAGTGTAGTTAACACTAATAAGTACAAACCTCAAAATCTTCTCTGACATTACAATAAGATCATAAGTCTCATCGTCATTGCCATTTGGAATGATTACATGCTATCACATCTGAGTTGATTAACATGTTAGCGTGTTTGATCACCCTCTTTTCGTCCATCATAGGTTGTGCAACGTAAGGAAAGAAGAGTTTATTTAAAACCGTAAATAACTGTTCGTACATTAAAGCTCGCTGCCGAAAACCACTGATCTCAAGGCGTCACCACCAAAAAAATTCCAAGAAGTTCAACAACGAATTCTAAGAAGATACCACGTCGATGAGTCACTACAAGGAATTCATCTAAAGTGTTT